AGTGACCCTTACCCTGCTGAATAAACACTGACCCTGTACGGTTACACAGTGAGTGACCCTTACCCTGCTGAATAAACACTGTACGGTTACGGTAGCACAGCTCGGCCAAGTGGCAGAAATGGATGTTGATGGTTTAACGGAGCGGGGAAGGGTCAGGCGAGGTGGGTGGCAGGGGTGCGTTGGGGTGTAGTCTGTGACATTGTACGTTGTCGACCCCAGCCGGGTAAAAACGGACGGGATTTTTTTCGAGGTAGCGAGAGATTGCGGAGACCGGAGATTCGAGGAGGTGGAGAGTCGATGGGATGGTACACAGCAGTTAAAGAAAGCATTGGGCACATTCACAGTATGATCGTGTCTCTCCCCCCACTCCCCCCTTCTTTCTCTGTCTCTCTCTCTGCCTCCCGCGTCCCCCCCCAGGTTCCAGGAACGCCGTTTCCACCCCTCCCTCCATCTGACCCGCCGTTTCTACCCTCACACCCACAACATGGACGGCTTCTTCGTCGCCAAACTGCGCAAGTTTGCCAATTCCGTGCCCTCTGCGTCGCGGGAGCCAGCGGCAGAGGGGACGGGGAACCCGGCCCCAACACCACCCCTGGGGGAGCCGAAACCCTCCCACACCCCGCCAGGGGTGAAGCAGAAGAAGAGGAGGAAGGGGAGGAAGGAGGTGGATACGTCTCGGGCTGAGGGAGGGGCTCAGAAGGTCAAGGCAAGGCCCCTCCTGCGCACCAAGCCTCGGGGCCCAGGCAAGAGGCGGAAGGTCAAAGGGCACAAGGCACCCTGAGGCGGCGAACGGATGGATTTTGGACGCGGGTGCAGGTGCACACGTCCTTGTTGACGGAGCTCCCGCGTTTCGGGAATGCCTTCCCCAGAGTTTGGTGGGGGGACAGCCTAGCCACCATCCGCGGTGGGGGCTAGTCTTCCGGAATGTTCTTAGCCTTTGCGTTTGTGTGTGTTTTTTTTTAATCCCCCATGTACAATAAAAGTTTCCAGAAGATCGCGTCTCCTGCCCCGCCTTTTTTCCCCCCCTCCCGGGCGGGAGACGGTGGGCAGCTCCCGAACGGTGTGAGGGGTGGAAGGCTAAAGTCCTGGCGCGATGGAGAGTGGGTTCAGTGCCATGCGCCGACTGATAATACCCTGAAGGGCTCTCCTCCTCAACCACTTCCCTCCCTGCTCCACCCCCACCTTCTCCTGAGGGCGTGGTGACCCTCCGGTTAAACCCCCCACCCCTCCGGCTCTGTAACTACGGCGATTAGCTGTAGAGGAGGAGCAGGAATGTTGCCGATGGCGATACATTGCTGGGGGCGGGGGGCCGGCGGTTCCCCCCCGTCCGAACTTTGGACGGGTTCGGAAGGGGAGGCCCCAGCGTGGACGGTACACACTGCTATGACCGCGCCTGATGGAGGGGAACGTTTGTGGATTCATCACCAGGGTTTTGGGGTGGGGGAGGAGGAGAGAGAGAGAGAGAGAGAGAGAGATATCCACGACTGGTTTACCCTCTTTCCTCCTTTCTTCCTCCCCCCAAACCCACTGATGTCGAGAGAGAGCGCGAGCAAGACTTGCGCTTGGTGGGCGTTCAGAGAATTTGTTCCCTCGCGTTCAGGTCTGGGGGGGTGGGGGAGGGAGTTTAGCATCAACCGTGTCACTTAAAAGCCCACGCCCCTGGGGCTCTCCTCCTCTGGCTGCATCCTGCGCAGCGCCAGGAGGGTTTGGCGGGGGGAAGGAGAGAATAAAATAAAGCCCGCAATCCCTTCCTGCCCGCCCCCAACACAGCCACCCTCTGTTCCTCGCATGGCTCCTGTGCTTCTCGTCACCCCCAAAATAAACCCCCCCCCCCCTTGGTAATGGCTGTAGAGTGGCGGGGCGGCGGCTTCTGTCCCAAGACGCGTCTGGCTTTATGAGTCGCAGGGCGCGGAAACAGCGGGGTGTACAGAGGGTTTGAGTTTTAAACAAAGGCTGGGACTTTTCTCCCACCAACCCCACAACTCCCAGGAAATCTGATTAAAGTTTGTAAAGTAGAGAGAGAGAGAGAGAGACAGAGAGTTGACTCTAATAGTCTTTCCCCAAAGCTGGGGAATATGAAGGGGACATTATTAAAGGAGAGCGATTTAAAGATGTGGGAGGCATTTGGATTTATTTTTAAAGACGGGCACGACAGAAGGTGGTTGGGGAACGTGTGGGACATGTGGAACAGATGTCCCACTGACCTATAGGACTGTGTGTGAAAGAGTGGGGGGGGGGTTAGATTGTCTCTACGTGCGAGAGGGGTAAGGGGAACGGTTGGGGATTTCCCAAAAAAAAAAAAACCCCCCCTTCCCCTGCAACACCCACACGGCGTTTCCCAGGCGAACCGCGGCCCCTAAATAAACATCCCAAAGTGATTGTGTTTTCCCCCACCCCCCAAATATCTCCTGGGGGTCTGTAAATACCGCACAAGCGGCTCATTCGTGGACGTGAACTTTATTGAATGGTTCCAACAGCTGAACAGTGTAACATAAAAACCGAGCTGTCGCAACAGGGCATGGGGACACCAGACACCATCCCCAATCCTGTTGCAAACGGGCAATACAGAGCAGGCAGTGAACACACACACACACACACAGTCTCCCGGGGACACAGTGACAGCTCCCCCCACCACCCCTCAAACAGGGCAGAGAGTCCGACTGATCAGGGGAATGGGATGGGATGGGGGGAGGGAGGGAATGGGGCAACATTCCAGCCCAGATCCTCACTGGCAGTATCAGGAGAGGGCACACAGTGAGCGTATCAATTCTTGGTTAGTGTCATATAGACGAGAGACAGAGACCCAGCCCGATGGAGTCAGCCTGTCCTGTCCAGTTAGATCGCCCCAGATCGGGAGCCGTCAGAGCCGGGGGGAGAAGCTGGAGGAGAGACGGACGGATGGACAGACAGTTATGGAGGACACAGCCTCCCTCGCGAGGTCAGGAGGCAGTAGTTATTCTCCTTGTCCTGGCAGACAGCAGGGTCGGGGGGTGCGGCTTTCATCGTGCTCCGAGCCTCCGGATCCTGGATCCTCTCTGAAACTGCTGCTTTGTGAATCTGCTGGGGGCGGGGTGGTGGGGAAGAAACGAAGACAAATGCGAGTCAGCTCTGGGACCTACCAAACACTGCCCCCGCCCCCCACAGAAGGTGGTGGGTGCCCCTTCAAAACGCAGCTGCACATGAGCTGTATGCAGACCCTTCGCTCAGAGATTCTGACCCAGCGACACTGAAGAGCTACGGCGCATATCGTTTCTGAGTCGGGATTGGGTGGGGAGGGGTTTGTGGGGTCTCCGAGGGGGAGCTGTGCGGGTCGGGGAGGTGGGGGTGGTGGTGTTCCCCTGCCCCTCGTCCTTCTGGATGGAAGGGGCCAGGGGGTTTGGAAGGAGCCGCCCGAGGATCCTTCGGTGAGTTTCCTGCAGACGGTACACACTGCTGCGGCTGTGCCTGAGCGGGCGGAGAGAGAGGGATGTTTGCAGATGCCGTGCCGATCGAGCAGGGACGGTGCCGAGCTTCCCGGGTCAGTTTCTGCTCAATGGGGACCCCCAGGATGTTGGTATTGGGTGGGGGGTGGGAGGGGTGGGTGGTGTTCAGTTCTGGGAATACCATTGAACTTCAAGGAGGGGGGGGGTGGGGGGGCGGGGGTGGGGGGGGATGATGGTTAGATTCTCTTTCTGGTTGGAGGAAGGGAGTGTGTACCCTCAGACACAGAGCCCCCAGACCCAGGAGGGGGGAGATAACGGAGACTTGGCGGATCCTGGAGCGGGTGGTGGGGTGGGGGGCATGGCGCTACCACCTTACCTGTCGGAGGCCGAGGGCCGAGCCTGGAGAGTTACCCCCTGCCAGGGGCTGCAGCGGGGAGCGGATGGTCCCAGGGGCCGGCAACTTCCCGGGAGCTGGATTCCTCTTGGCAGCTGTGGGGCCTGGGGGGGTGGGAAAA